GTGTACTCCATTGATGGTGGAAGTGGAGATCTTGGGGGGCCGCAGGAAGAAGAATTTCCCGAGGGAGGATGAGGTATTGTGGAAAGCTTTATTGATGAAATAACGTTAAGGGGGTTCCCCCTCCAAGATGCCATCTCACTCAGTCCTGCCGTGGAAAATCTCCCATTTTGTCTTCAGCAGGGCTAGGATTAAAACCACTACCCAAAGTCTGCTCCATATTGAAGCCCAGTTCAGTCCAGCATCAGGCTAGCTTAGCTCGTGTTCCCAGCTGCAGTCCATTGCTTCCAGGATCACATGCAAGCTGGCCTGAGTCACGGAACGAGTAAGTGCCGGGAAGCAGGAGTGAAGCAAGAGGAACAAAAGAGCAAAAGTTTCTTTGGGGATTTTAACTAGAAGCTTAACCAATGAATCTTTCAGGATTTCACGCGCTTGCAGTGGCTCCATCCCTAACCAAGCCGTGCTTCCCCAGGCTAGACTGACTGGCAAGCATCTTCCCTATCACCCTGACTTCACTGCGCATGTGCCCATCTTCCCCTTTGTTGGAACCCTTTCCCCAGTGACCTGCAAGGAGTGGACCAGGGGTTTCCTGGGAAGCATGACGTTCCTGCTTCCTGGCAAAGTTGCCCGGATGATCATGCCCTTCGCTTCCTTCCCGTTATTAATAACTAGGTAGTTAAGATGGTAACAGTGCCACCCCAAAGAGCACACTTTACAATCACTGGTCCAGATGGGATCTCTTTTTTGGCAAGGCAGCTAATCATAGATGAGGAGACCTTGTGGACACATGAAATACTGAGTGTGCTAAAGGATCACAACAGTAGAACGATAGTTTGGGATGAGTTGCAAACTTTCTTCAAAGAGTTTCTCTCCCTAAGAGTGAAAAGATATTTAAAGTGATTTGTTTTTAATTCTGTTGTTTGCTTCTTCTTTACATACCATTTTTCCACATATATAGTGAAATTGGAAAGGAAAATGTGTAGCCAAAAGCCAAATTGACATTCTAAAACAGGAAGTCAGTGTAGGACATAGAATTAGAAGTTAGCATATTATTCGATTATTAGATATATCAACCACATCAGTAGATATACATCTGATATTTTAACTGGATGATGTTATATAAGGATATTATTTTTTAGCTAACATATCTGGGAAGTGTCAATGTAAGAAATGTCCAAACCTATAAGAATTTTTATGAGTTTATTTACACCAAACTGATGACAATTGCCAGAAAGCAAAATCTCAGCAGATTGAGAAAATGCACGTTGTTTTATACATTGAAAGCAAAGTGGGGAGGGGGAAGTATTCCTGGGATTGGATGAAAGGTAAAACATTTGTGGGTATAGGATAGTTAACAGTCAATAATTAGCATGATAATAATAACAATGAGGGCATTTATGGTCTCTGCTCTGGCTTGGTGGTTGTGCTTTGAGGGGTCCAGAAAAAAAGGAAATTACTTTGATATTCCAAAGTTACTGTTAACAGATATGTTATCTTAGTTGCCAAAAAAAAAAAAAAAAAGATCACAGACAGGCTCAGTTAAAGTAAAGATTGGCCTTTGTTAGGGAAAAATACCACGTAGGACATGACTACCAGCTATGAACTGCTTTTAGTTAGGAAGTTTCACTTTCAGACCATTTGTGTCCTTACTTTAGGTCTGGAGTTTGTAAGACACCATTAGGCCTCCCCTGAGCTTGTCAGGTTTATTATGTGGCCCCTTTTTCGTCCACAGAAGTTATGAATTGCACTGAATCTATTAAAAATTACTGGGTCCAAAATTGCAACTTCTTTAATTATATAAATAATTATTAACAAGTCATTTCAATAGAAACATTGTTCATTAGGGAGTTTCAGTATCTACTTATTAGATGGAAATGGACCTTTTGTCATTCAAGTATGACAATAAATAATAATTACATTTAAATTTTTTATTTTAATTTGGCCATAAATTTTCAGTGCCAAATAAATTGCATGATCCTTTTTTAATTAACATTTTATGTTCTAAAGCTTTGAGGGGAAAAGTGTATTTAGATTACTTTAAAAATATAACGTGTGTTTTGCTACAGCCTCCAACTCCTATCCCCCAAGCATAGTAAGGATTTTCAAGGGCACCAAATCTTTGACATAGCTGGATTTCTGACAGAAATCTATCCAAAGGGACATTATTTGGGAATACAATTTAAAATTTCATATCATCTCTTACTTTTGGGTCATTACATAAAAATATTGAATAATTTGAAAACTTACTTTTTATTTTGTATTCAGTATGGAGAGTTATCCCCGGAGTGGGGCTTTTCTGATGCAAAATTGGAATGCTCATGTAGTCACAACAGCTGTCCCCACACCATGTGGTATCTTCCATTACTTTACTAAAGAGATGAATTTTTGGCCCAGTGTCTCAGTAATAATGGACACACATGGTTTTACGTGGCAAAGCCGTATGCTTATGCATTCATTTGACTTTCACAGCTCCAGTTGGCTCCAGATTAGAACAAGGAGAATACATTCACACCGTGGCCACCCTCATAGCTGCCTTAGTGGCTGGGTCACAGTAGGCTCTGTTGCTTCTAAAGACACAACTAACTATTGCTGAGGAATTGCACATTCACCAAAGAGAGAATAATGACTTGCTAAAGTATTCTCTCTCAAAGGTTTCAGATTATGGTCCTAATTATTATTGATCTCTCTTAATATTAATAAAAATCATGGCCATGAAATAACTACGAAACTAAAAAGAAAGATTGTTCTAGCAGTTGATAATTTTTCAGGATATCAGTCCAAATATTTGATTTAATTCTTTTTCTTCCCAGAAAAAGTGGCACTATACTTTCATTTTATTAACAAGGAATTTAATAAAATTTTTAAAGCCCATTGCTCATATGTGCAGCATATTTGGAAAACCATTCTCATAAAAATAGAAATTATTTTAACGAATTAGTTTACTATGTGAAACAATACCTATATATTATTGACATTCTAAACAATTTTTAAACAATTTTGTTTGCTCCAAAAATAGTTGTTATAATTAATCAGATGTAAATGTAAGATGATTTTATTTAGTGTGAAATTGCATTGATATACTATATAGTTTGAATACTATATCTCTGCAGTGTCAACTTAATGCTCTTTTTGGTATGACTTTATACTATAAGCTTATATTTAAATTCTTAACTCTTTAGCATTTCTGAAATCAACTGGTACAGTTATTTAAAAGTTTTTATTTTTTAGCAATAAAAATATGCTTTCCTTGAAAAAACAAGTTATGTCCCTCTGAATAATACTTTTTCCCCTAAACAAAGTAAAAACAAGCAGAAAGAAACCCTTCAGTGTAAAATTTTAATTACCTGATATGGAAAATTAGATTTCTGATATCATTAAATATCAAAGAAATTTCAACCATACCCAATGTAGGCTACTTTTTTATGTGAATTTATGCATGGATCTTAAGGGTTGTACTGATGAATATGTTCGAGGCTTTCAGCTTTTAGTGGATACAAAATAGAATGATTGATAAAATCCTCCCTACTATTGGCTATTATTTACTGACTCTTAAGTGGCAGGTTGTATTTATGCCAATTTATCTGCTTCAGGGAACATTCTTGATAGCAGAACAAAGTGAATAAAAGTAGTTTGCTTTGCAAATGAATGCAAATGGGAGCGCCTTTGGGAAAGCTCTTTAACAGGGCAGCGCACTCTGATTATGAGTGAAGCTGCCATTTGGACTTGGTGAAAAGAGCACGCTTGAACCATTGATTGGGGGAGACAGTAAAAAGTCAGGAAGGGCCCCGTGAAGCTCGCAGTGAGGCAGGCGGATGTCAGTGTGGTTAGAACACAGTGGGAGAATGACAGGGAGGATTAGTGTCAGGGAGAAGCTTTGCTGTAGCTGTGGAGATGGTCCCTGGGGTCACTCACCTCTGACTGGTTCTGTGCTGATGGTTCTGTAATGCAAACGCCCTGGTGTGTGCCTGTTCATTATCGGAAATGGTGATCAGAAAAGGTATTTGTCTCAAAGGTTTCCTTCTTTCGTTTTTTCTTTCTTTTTAATTAAAGAAAAATAAAGTGGGCTTCCTCCATCTTGCTGCTGACTCCTAGAGAATTGTTTAATACCAGAGTGGTTACTGCCCTTGGTAGGGAATAGTTTAATGCTAAAATGTAATGTGAAATAATTGTAACATGTTTGTTATTTGATAATAGTTTTTTTTGCTTTGCTCAGCTTTGGGTTTGACCAAGTGGTCGTGCTGAATAAAATGCAGAGAATGTGCTTGAATGTTTGCTTTTGCAAAAAAAAATAATTCTGTAATATTTCAAGGTATTTTATTATTCAAATTAATAATTTGATTAATTTTTAGGAGCTGTTTACCTTCTCAGAAATGAAATGTTGCTCTGCACAGACTTGATGATTTAAGTGTTGGTCCCATGACTTTCTAATTTTATTTCTGCTTCCAAATTTTATAAAATGGTAACATTTGATAAGTTAAACTTTTTGAAAATACATGATTTTTAGAATATTGTTACTTAGAATGAACAAAATAGATCTTTGTCTCAATTATGATTCTTGATCTCTACATTTACTTGTTGACATTTTCATTTATGCTTATACTTGAAAGAAAGCAATAAAAACCTTATTTTTTAAACTTTAAAGTATAGTGACTATATATGAGGCATTTGTAAGCAGCAGTGACAACAATGCATTTCATAGGCTTTGTGAATGGTTTCTCACTAATGCAGAATTGACTTATCTTTTTTTTTTCCAATTTCTTCGAAAGCCTGACTTCACAATATTTCTGCTTTTTTATTTGGTATACATAGGAAAATGTAAAAGGCTGCTGGAGCTTTGCATTCTAATGTTAAACATGCAACCCAAACCTCTATCTGAACTATTAGATACATTGTGATATTATTGTTTTTGCAGAACGCATATTGCCAATAGTTTGTTTCACAGGTCTATTAAATGTATTAGCAAACATTGTTTAAATTGTCTTTTTTTCCTTAATATTTTGCAGGCACCTGAATGGACAGAAGAGGACCTCAGCCAGCTGACAAGAAGTATGGTTAAGTTCCCAGGAGGGACCCCAGGTCGATGGGAAAAGATTGCTCACGAATTGGGTCGATCGGTGACAGATGTGAGTTCACTCAGATTTGCATTGTATGGAGAGTGAAAATCCAGAAAAGCCAACTCTGTAGAAGGTAGACATCAATGCCTCCACCATTCTCTTTGGAGAAAGGCTACAGCCCTTTTAGGACCTGGAAGTGAACCATTAACGAAATAGGCAAGAAACAGATTTCAGCCAGTCCCATGATCCACGGTTAACAGCTGTTTAAGGAATTCTAGTGTTTAGAGACTTAAGCTAGTTTTGTATTTAGAGTGACTCCTTCAGCTTTGGGGAGAAAAATAGCTCTCAGACTTATCAGAATTAGAAAAGTTATATTTCATAAAAAGGGGAAAAAAATAAAAAGAGAAGTTTTATTACAGCTGGATCTTTTTAACGCTGGAATTATACACATTCTTTGGTGTAGGTATTTAGACAGGTGGTTTGCATTAATTAAATCAACAGTATCCCTATGTTTGTTTTTATCTTAAGGATGATGCCTACCATCTATTTTGACAAGTTGTTTAAAACCCTTCCCTCCTCTTCCCCCCCCCCCCAAAAATACACACACGTGTAATATGACAAGCCATACCTGGCATTTAAAAAAAAAACAAAGTGTTTACCTGGACAGTGTTAGATTTATCACTTTGGGTACTTTTATTGAGGAAATTTAAGGCAGAGAATCTTATTAAGACATCTACCACAGTGCCGGACAAGTACTACACAGTAAATGTTTACTTGATATTGAAAGAAATTTTTATTTTCATCAGTATGATCCTTATTTTTACAAATAATAGTAAGTAGTCTTTACTAAACAAGTTCTTTACTGAATTTATTTAAATTATTTACTTTAAATAAATCCTGTAGATCTAAAATATTTATGGGGTTACTGAAAGCAAAGATTCAAATGTCCTCCTCAATTCCATTAGTAAATGGTGGGCCTTTTCTGATAATGAACAATTTAAAAACCTGAAAAATGATTGATAAGCACAACCACCAAACAGAAAAGCTTGTTACATAAAATGCTGTTACCTTTTTGTAGTAAATTACAATCTTTTAATTTAAAACAAACTTATAGAACATATTACTGTCAATTTTTTAAATAGTTCTTTAAGAGTTTTAAATTACATATAGGAATGTTTTTAATGCCATATAGATCTTTTTTAAATCACTCTTAAAATATTAAGATGTTTTTTATTATTTTGGCTTCAGAGTTAAAGTCTGATCATGTGGAAAAATAGCGCTTATATCTTGTAACATTTTTTTCCCTATGTTTCATGAGGAGACCAGTTATCATAGGTGACTGAGAAAAGAACCATAAGGATACATTTTAAGTACTATGACCCTCTAATTATACAACTATGTACTGTTAATATAATGATTAACAAAAATTACTAAAACAATTTTCAAAAGGTTATCAAACCAATATTGGCTTAATAGGACTCAAATTTTTAGTTAATTGCCAAATGAGAAATAATAGTTCACTAATTTAGTGTCTCTTTTGAAGACAGCTTTTAACTTTTTAAATAATATTTCTTTGAGGCCTTACAGTTAATAATGCCAAAGGCAGATAGGATATTGAGTAGAGCAGTATTTTACATTAATTTATCATTATCATCTGCTTAAATTTTTAATCTATATTTTTTTAGGAGGAGAGAAATGAAAGTGTAAATGCTAAAAATATACATGATGTAACCAACAGAGCCTTGAGATGGCTAGTTAGTATCATAGATCTAGAAAATCTAAACATAATTTAAAGAGTTGTTTTAGTGCAACAGTCCCTGGATAAGCAAAGACACCTTTTCAAACTTTTGCAAATTCATTCCATGTGTTTCAAATTTTTTCTTCTAGAAAACTGCCAGTTTTCTCTTTGCCAAAACTGAAGGGAGACTAATCCCTTGTCTGTAATAGATATTCCTGCTCTTATTGTAGTCAAATATGACTTCCTCAGATTTTTTTCCTCCAAGTATTAGTTCTATTTTCATAATGCTAACAGTTCCTTATAGATCAGTATTTAGTATACCAAAATGCCATTGTAACTTTTCTTCTGTGTCAGCTATATAGAGACTCACTGTATTTTCATTCTATGAGCATCATCTCTATAGTTGGCCTGTACATTTCATTTCACTAACTACACACACACCTGTAAATTACTCTCTTTAAAAGAGAACAGGTGTCTGAAGACTCATAATTCATTTTAGTGAACACACAGTAAATTCCATTGAAGCAGCTGAAATGGGTTTGGCTAATACAGGTGCCTTTACTAGAATGTTAACTAAAAGTTAACCACACATTACAAGATCACTTTTTGGCTTATGGTGTTAATTAGATTTGTTTTCATTAAGTGTTTGATTATGAAAAAGAAGGCAAGTTCAGTTTGCTGTCCTTGAAACCTCTGCATACTGACCTGATCACCTGTGCCAGTTCTCCCCTGCTCTGCACATCTGGTTTTTGACCTGTTTTCCTTGCTAAATTTGTAGCTTCAGGGTTTGTTCTCTTTCCTTTGAGAAACAATTGACCTTTTTCAGGGAGGGGTGAGAGTGTAGCCCTGGTGGGATCTTTATAGTCTTGATTTAGGTTGACAGATTACAATGAAAAATGCATTTAATTCCTCAATTAAGAAAGGAGTTTCCAGTGTATTATTGTCATAATTAATGACAATTGCTAAATTTTACTCCAGGTAAATACAAGCAATGTTATTAGCTTTGTAAAACATGAATGCAAAGTATATTTTAACTCAGATATACCTAAACTGTAAGACCTATTTTATTATATATCAAATCTTTTAAATGTTAATATATGCCTTTCAGCAAATAACTCATAACCCCAAAGAGCACTCCACTTGTAAAAACAACAGGAAACAAAAGCTGTCTGGCATGTAAAGCCAACTTTAATGTGATTATTAACTGCAGGTTTTCTAAGTTAAGGTCAGGGAGCCTCAGATTTCTTGCCCGTGAGGTAGTATCATTCTCTAGCCTGGAAGGATGTAAACTGATTCTGCTTCTCTCCGTGGTCACTAATCTCTTACGTTCTGGTTGTGATAACAGACTGATTGGAGATTTTCTGCCTGCTTGGAAAAGACCCAGTTAGGCAGCAAAACAAAAGACAGGTGGGTAGATTTAAACAGACTTTTATAATTACCTTAGTACCACAGTGAGAGGTAAGAGGTGTGCAGTTAGATAAGTGTCCCCATATGAGAGGGAAAATAATAAAATTCTCAACTTTACCTTCTATCACTATAACAGAGAGATACAGGAGATGCCTATTGGGGGGACTTTATGTGCTATGGCAGTTGTTTCAAAAATATATCTGGATTATTCAATAGAAAATAAACTTTATGGTTTATCAGTGAACTAAATATGTAGTAATTATTTTGGCAAATATGTTGCTATAACTTCTGAGAGTCAGACTAGTCCTACACAAGTTGTAAAAATGACAAGGTTAGTCTTTTTAATTTTCTGTCTTCATTCACCCTTGCTATTGTCTTAACCAGGTTTCTTGCTCTAGTAGATCTCTGACCCTCAGCCTGATCACACATTCCTCTCCTTCCCTTCTTCCCTCACACTCTCAACCCCAGGACCTTAAAGATATTTAAATTTTAGCAAGGAATGGGGTCTTTAATCCATTCTTCTTGCTAGATAAGTCACCAGCTGATCTAATAACCAATTTTCAATATGATATTAATAGAAAATAATTGACTGTATTACCAAATACACACACACATGGATTTTAATAGAAGCCTTCTTTTTTTTTAAGTTAGATTACAAGTCATCCTTGTGTCTGTGTGTGTATTTATTGAATTTAGAGGGAGAGAAAGGGGGAGGGAGAGAGAGAGAAAGAAAGAGAAACATCGATTGGTTGCCTCCTGTATGCACCCTAACCTCACTCGGACACAGGGACTGAACCCACAACCTGGGTATGTGCCCTGATCAGGAATCGAACCAGCAAACCTTTCCATGCACACTAACCAACTGAGCCACACCGGCCAGGGCAAGCCTTCAGTTTCTTATCCCAAGTATATGAATGATTGGTGTAAGAATTTCAGGCAATTCGACTGCCTGTTTGAAGAAAAGAGAAGGCAGAGCATTATTTTGAGGAAAATAGGACCTTTTGGTGTCCATGGGGGAAACTACATAATTAATTGCTTAATTTGTTCAATGACCTCATTAGAATGTTGCTATTATATGATTTCTGGGCCAGAGGTTTACAGATTTGCATTTCATGTCACCATTTCTGACTCAGCATTGAGCAAAATCATAGGAAAGGATTATAAAAGGTATATTCACTACATGAGCATAACACTGCAAGAGTCAGTTAAAAGGTCAAACCAACATTTTCCTTTTTTTTACATTTTTTATTGATTTTTAGAGAGGGAGGGAGAGAGAAACATCAATGTGAGATGGCCTGCCTCCTTCATGCCCCTAGAGCCCCAACCTTGGAATGGCCCTGACCTGTCCAACAACCCTTCGGTGCACCAGACAACACCCAACCAACGGGGCCACTCGGCCAGCGCGGCAGCAACATTTTTATACTTAACTACTCTACTTGATAATATTGATTGTTCCAAAATCTATTTTCATAGTATTTTACATTTTTCAAGACATTTTACTTGATCTTCACAACAGCATTGTGAGGTAGATTAGGCAACCATTTTACAGTTGAGTAAACTGCTCCTAAGATATTTGTTCAAGGTGACACAACAATTAGTGTTGGGACACCAGATATTTTGATTCCTCCTTTAATATGTTAGCACTACTTAATGCTGTTTCATTGCTGTGGATATGAAAAACACTTTAAATGTGTCTAGAGACTTTTATTAGAATATTTTTTTTGGTAAAACTGTGTTTATATAGAAAAAAGAAACTTTAAAAAGTACACTGAAATTTTTAAAAAATGTTATAGTCAACCACAATAAAAAATGACTCCTGTAAACATTTTATTTTATACCATTTAGAGTCGAGTCCTCCTATAGCGGTATATGACTAGACATAATTTTAACCGTATCAATCTGCATCCTGCCCTTTTCACGTTGC